GAGAGAGAAACATTGATTGGCTGCCTCCTGCGTACCCCTACCAGGGATTGAACAGGAAACCTTTCAGTGAACAGGAGGATGCCCAACCCACTGAGCCACACCAGCCATGGCTAGTTCTACAATATTTGACATTTGACTAGTCCCTCCCTCTCTTCCTCCCTCCCTCCCCGCTTCTCTTATCTATAGCTATAGTAGCTGCTAGCTGACATATTACCTCTTAAATTTTATATTATTTTAGATATCTTTAAAATATTTTGCTACATATACCATAAAGAGATATTTTCTAAATCAATAGTTGTTGTCAATCACTAGTCATATTCCTAGTTAGAGTAGATAGACTTGGTAAAGAATCTCCACTTGTCACACTGACCTAGAAATGCTTTATTTGATCATTGGCTGGCAAGGGCTGCTCCTTTATCCTCGTGTTCTTCTGAAGATTTCTGTATCTGTTATTATTCAACCCATGAACACATCCTCCAGGGTCCAATAGGCCTCTAGGAATGAAACATACTTAATATTCCACAACCATCTGCCTCATCAACCCATGAACTTCTAGTTCTTCTGGTGGATGCCCTGGTAATGAAACTTTCCATGGTGTGTGGTGAAGTTGCAGAGGTTTGTCAGGACAGAATTTAGGTGGCATGCACAGGCTTCAGCTAACCTGAAGGGTAAGAGTCTTGGTTCTGTGCAACACTGGATGAATTATTTACCCTCTCTGTGCCTCATTTTCCTCACTTATAAAATGGAGATAATAGTACCTACTTCCATAGGCTTATTTTGAAGATTAAATTTAGCATTTGTAAGCACTTGATATATAGTTGTCATTGTTATGATGTAGAGCAGCCCGGGAGGATTGTGGTGGGGTTTTTTTTTTGTCCTTAATAGAATACAGGAAGAAGAGGAGGCAGGAAAACATGCTGAGAAGATGCATTAAGTCTTACCTTTCTTCCTTTCTTCGAAATAGTAAGGGACAAAAGAACATGTAAAGAAATAATTGCTGTGTAATGTGATTCATACGACAAAAGTTATGTTCAAGATAGGGAAAGGGGAATGATGAACTGGACGTGGATCAGGGAGGGCTCTGAGAAGAAGAGCTGCTGGGGCAGAGTTTGTGATAAGTGAGT